CGTTAGGACTATAAACCTCTGGGAAGAAAACACGGGTTTTTTTTTTTTTTTTTTTTTCAAACTTAGATCTGATCACGTTTTCTTAGATACACCATCAAAAGCATAAGGGACAATTTGTGCTACAAAGAATATGTACCGAGAAAGTGAAAAGACAACACAAAGGATGGGAGAAAAAATTTACGAAGCATATATGTGATCTGAAACTTTACCGAGAATGTGAAGAGCTGTCATAACAATAAGAGACAACAGTTTAAAATGGTTCAAGGATTTGAACAGACATTTTTTTCCAAAGAAGACACACAGATAGGCAATATGCACACAGAAAGATGGTCACTATCATTAGTCGTTATGGAAATGTAAACCCAAAGCACCTAAGGGGCTACTTCACAATCACTGGGTACAATAAAAACAGACAAAACTAAGTGCTGGTGAGGACTGGAGAAACGGAACACTCAGACACTGCCGGTGGGAATGGAAAACAGTGCAGCTGCCTTGGAAAACACCTGGCATTCCTCCCAGATCAAGCACAGAGGCGCGTAGGACCCAGCAACCCCATTCGGAGGCATTGACCCAAGAGGAACGAAAGCACAGAATCCATTCACGTGATCTGTCCAGGAAGGCCGACAGCAGTACTTTCCACAATAGCCGAAAGGTGGACCACTCCCAACGTCCATGAATGACTAAATAAAAAGTGGTACATCCACACAACGGATTATTATTTGGCAATGAAAAGAAATGAAGTACTGACACAGGCTACAACACAGATGAACTTGAAAACCTAACACCAAGGGAAGGCATCCAGTCACTAACCCTACAAATAACGTGGTTCTGTTTATTTGAATGTCCAGAAGAAGAAATCTAGAAACAGAGGTGTATCAGAACTTGCCCAAGACTAGGGATGGAGGAGAAAGGGAGGGAGAGTGATTGCTAATGAGTGTACGGTTTCTTCGGCTAGGAGATAGAATACTCTAAAATTAGAATCTGGTGATAGTTGCACAACCCGGTGAATTACTAAAACAACTCCAAAACAAAAACATTGAGGGAACCAGCAGTTAGCGTAATGGCTATGTCGCTGGACTTCCATGTAGTCGACCGCGGTTCGTGTCCCGGACCCGGTGGCTTAAAACTCACGCCGGGCGTGTGTGCGTGCGTGCCCAAGATCCCGAGAGGAGAATGGAGGAGAAGGGATTGCGGCGTGCCCATCCCCCCTGGGGGGTGATTTCTCGCTTTCTGTCTCTATGTCTCTCTCTGTCTGTCTGGCGAGCGCACACGCCCTACAGTGAAAATCTCTCAAAAAAAAAAAAAAATTGACATATACTTTAAAGCTCTCTCTTGGGCCCAGCAAGTGGTGTAGTGGTTAAAGCACAAGACTCCCACATGGCTGACGGCAGTTCGAATCCTAGACTCGGAGGCTTGAAACTCATGTTGGGTGCATGTATGTGCATGCCCAAAATCCTAAGAGGAGAATGGAGGAGAAGGAATTGTGGTGTGGCCATCTCCCTGGATGGTGATTTCTCATTCTTTCTCTCAGTCTCTTTGGTGAGCACACACACCGTATAGCAAATCTCTCTCTCTCCAAAAAAATAAAAAAAAAGCTCTCTCTCTTTCTCTCTCTTTTGCCAGAGGGTGTGTGTACTTGCCAGAGGCAGCCAGAGCTAGAGAAAGAGAGTAAGAGGGAGAACCTACTTCCCAATGGGACGTGGCTACCCTGCAATTTCTTTCTGTCCTGATCTACAGCCTGCTGGGATTTTGGGCACGCACACACATAACACTGGCATTATTTTTCAAACTAAGGGGGACCAGGACTTGAATCAGAGTTGGCCATGTGGGATACAGCTCCCTTTAAAGGCTTGACCACAGGGCCAGCCCTCAATAAAGCTCTTAACAAAAAAACAAAACCCACTAGGCAGTCTTCTGTCATCTCACCATTACTGCAACACTTTCCAGTATCCAAAACCACCTTTTATTGGTTTATTTATGTGTTTGTCTCTTCACAAAGCAAGCTCTCTGAAGACTGTACCTGTCTTGTCTGTGCCTGTTTTCCCAGCATTAACATGGACCTGGCCAAAAGATGATGCTTGGTAAACATTCACCTAACATATAAACCAACCAACCAGGCAACAGGGAAGAGGGGCTCTCAGCCCAGCCTCTGTATGCCCACCGCCATCCCTGGGTCCCAGGCAGGTAAACTGGGATGCCGTGCTCTCCCCAGCTCCTCCCTGTCCTGCCTTTTCTCCCTCCCCATCAAAACAGTGTGGGTCCCATTCCAGTTTATACCTCCTTCTCTACATTCACAGCCGCCAGACGGTGGCACGGCGGGGACACATACTGTGATGCTGGACTCACATGGAAAGGTCCCGGTTTCAAGTACTGAGGCCTCATATGTGAGGCTTGTGGGTACCTGCCCGTGATCCAGGCTGGGGATGGACCCCAGCATGAAGATCCTGTTGCGGATGTCTGCCTGTCTGTCTCTTTCTTATGGAGAAATAAACATATGAATTTTATGCAGTCTATTCACTGATGTGATGGCTACAAGGGTACAGGGGAGTCAGCCTGCTTGGTTAAAATATTTAGGTATTGCTCTTAATCTTTAGTTTCTCTGTCTGGAAAATGAGGCTGATAACAGTATTCCCTTGAGAGGGCTGATTTAATGTAGATTAACTAAATGAGACGCTGCTGTGGATAACGCGGGAAGGCAGTTGCCAGCGTGCCAGGGCGTGGGCCTGCACAGTACGGAAGCTGACCTAGTGGCACGGTTCAGGCAGGTGGCAGGGTTAGTCAGACTCTGAATTCTTAGTTCCCAACTGCTTGTGGACCTTTACCAGGTTATTCTGTTGCACTGAACATGTGACTCAGCATCGTGAGTAAATAAGGGCTTACAAATGCTCCCCTTCCTCAGCTCTGAACCGGAAGTCCATCTGGCCGGAATCCTGTTCCTCTGTTTCCCATTTCGGTTTAACTCCCTCCTTCGGGATGGATCTTTCCGGTGCCCACATCTCAGCCCCTCTGAGGCGTCTATGCAGGTACAGCACATCCCCTGCCAGGGAGGAGGCAGCTCAGTAAGCTGTGCTGTTTCTACCCTGCCGGTGAGACCCAGGGAGTCTCGCAGGATGGACGGTTGCTCTGTTTTGCCTGAGTGGTCCAAGGTCTTCACTGGCACAGGCTGGGGGAGCCACCATCTGCCCTCCCACTGCTGCCGGAGCTGCCCATGGGTGGGCATGGGG